TTTTCAGAGAAAGTATATTTTGGATCTTCTTTCAGACACTGGGATGTTGGGGTGCAAACCGGCATTATCACCTATGATTCCAAAACCTGAAGCTTACTGCTGAAGGTGAGGAGTTGAAAGATCCGACAGTTTATCAAAGATTGGTAGTAGACTTATCTAACTTAGCCAATACTAGGCCGGACATTTCATTCCGCAGTCAGCCGAGTTAGTCAGTTCATGCATAGGCCATGTCAGCCTCATCTTGATGCAGTTTATCATATTCTCGGTACCTCAAGTCTTGTCCTGGACTTGGGTTGTTTTATGCATCAGGATCTCAGACCGGTTCTCTAGCCTGTTATTCAGATTCAGATTATGGGGGAGCATGTGATGGTCAATCTACTACGGGTTTCTGTGCTTTTCGAGGGACTCATCTTATCTCTTGGAAGAGCAAGAAGCAGGCAGTTGTCTCCCGCTCGTCCGCAGAGGCAGAGTATAGGGCATTGGCACTTGGCACATGTGAGATTATCTGGCTACGATCGATTCTTGACGAGTTGGGTTTTTCAGTGACCTCTCCATCCACATTATATTGTGATAATCAATCTGCTATTCAGCTCACTTCTGACTCTGTACTACATGAGAGAACGAAGCATATAAAGATCGATGTTCACTTTCTTCGGGAGAAGGTCAGCAGTGGTCTTGTTACTCCATCGTTTGTGGGGACCAGTGATCAAGTTGCGGATGTTTTTACAAAACCTGTCACTCTGTCTATTCTTCGGGACTCTGTTGTCAAGCTTGGCTTAGTTGACATTTTTGCGCCTAGCTTGAGGGGAGTGTTGGAGTATAGATAGTCTAGGTTTATTAGGATTACTTTTCCCTTTTTTACCCTTACTAAGATTTTTATATTTGCCTAAACTACAAGGATGTTTAAGTCACTCTGTATTATTTTTGGATATATATACAGGGCTCTACTCTTAATTTGAGTATCCCTTTTCACTTACGTTTATTCCAAGTTAGAAAAAGCCCGCTGGAAGAACATCTTGGCATGAAAAAATCTTGGCAATCGGATATCCATGATTTTTGTGAACTTCCTCTTCTTGGAAAACTACTGGCAAATAATGATCCCTTGAAGTTGGTTACAAAAAAACTTTGGTGCTTGGAAGTGCATGATCAATGTTAGAATAGACTTATATATGTATACAGGTGGCCTGCAATCCAATTGGAGGTAGACTTAACCCAAATATCCAAAGAGGACAATGCAAAGCAAGGTTGTCCATCCAAGGACATATGACATGGTTATGCTTCCTAACCAAAAAACTGGGATTACAATGCAAATTATGCTGTATTATATTTGTGGCCATTTGTCATGGCCTTCCACTTAAAGAGCAGAAAGAAGAGGGGTACTGTAATTACTATTGCCTCTTGTATGGGTTCACCAGGAGCACATAATACCCAAACCAAGAGCCATAAATTGTATATAACAGTCAAAATGAAATGGTACATTGAGTCCACATAATATTCTCTGTAGACAGAATTGGGAGATAAGTCTTTTTAAAATTCGTTTTGATGGAATCAAAGAAATAGGAAAAGCTGAAATGCAAGAACACCAAGTCTAAGTTCAAAGCATCTATGTAGTGCCCACACTGGTGGCGTAGTTGGTCTGCCCCAAACAACTGCTGCAGGGCATTCTTGGCATATGCTCATGGACAATTTAGCTTAATAACACGTCTTTAAATGTTTTATGATTAGAAATTTAGAAGTAAAAAAAATCCATTTTATTATGTCAGGAAGCTCCAATATGATCCTGGAAGCCATTTGAAAGATTTAGAAAAGAAAAAATCATTGATGAGCAAATGTTAAACTATTTCCTGATGCATATGTTCTAAGACTACTAATCATAATCTTTGGAAAAAACATAGAGAGAACACAATAGATTTCGGAGGAAATGTCAAGTTGCTGAAACTATTACTGAAAAGTTTACAAGAAACAGCTAAATTCTCCAGATACATATTTGAAGAAGTAAGTTTTTTTTTAGTCAATTATGTCAGGGTGGATGTTTGGCATCTTTCTCTAATTTTCTCAGGTCCAATTCAAACTGCAAGTAAGATCAAGGAACATTTCTTCTCTGCATGCTATAGTGAGACTCCCCATAGGATGATCAAAACCAAACTCTTCTTTGGCTTGGCTTAGCAAGTTTTGAAATGAAGGGTGGTTCAAGTAAGATATTGGGACTACAAATCTCCTTTTCTCTGTTTCTGACTTGCCAACTTAAATAGCAAAGTGGCCTCCGGGTACATCTGCAGCTGTTGGAGTAGAATAAGCCCGCTGGAAGAACGTCTTGGCATGAAAAACTCTTGGCAATCGGATACCCATGTTTTTTATGAACTGCTTTTCTTGGAAAGTTACTGGCAAGTAATGATCACTTGGAAGTTTGTAAAACAAAAGAAGCTTTGGTGCTTGGAAGTGCATGATCAATGTTAGAAGAGACCTATATATATAAAAATGGCCTGCAATCCAAATGGAGGTTGTCTTGAAGAGACTTGGAGCAAGGTGGTCCATCCAAGGACATATGACACTAGGTATCAGATGCTTATGCTTCCCAACAAAAACAGAGATAACAAGGTATATCTTATGTTGTAATATATTTGGGCCCCATTTGTCATGGCCTTCACTTAAAGAGCCAAACGAGGAGACTATACTGAAACTCCTATGTGGAGGAACAATTACCAAGTAGAACATTTGGGTGGACTGCAAACACTAGGGCATCTTATGAGAATAAATCTAGTTATAATATCATTAAGCAAATTCTAAGGTGTTCTGTTACACATTTGTTGGAGTTTCTTTGTCAGACGTTGACAGAATAGAAAATTAGTTGGACAAGCAAGCTTGTTTATGTAACAATGTTCCTTGGCACAAATGAAAACAAGTGAGGAGTGGTGGTGATAACTAGTATGCAACAAACCAATTGGGATTGAATACTGAATACGAGGGTTATGATATGCAGGACAGATCTCCCATATTCATTTGACAGAATCTCTTGTGTTCTTGCATATTTTTTTATTTTTGTGGTCAAATAAGCAAAAAGACCACCACTAAAACATATGTGCTGCCACAAATGAGCAAGTGGGATTGGATAAGTTAGCTGCTCATGTGATTATGTTCTTGCCATACAAGTGATATCATGAGCTTGGCTAATTTAGAGGAATGACAGGTTAAATACAAGCGTGTAACCAGTAAAACCTATGATGATGTCCCATGGTTCTAACTCCTGTCGTATTTTTTGAGAAAAATGACATGGAAGGACCGAATGGTACCAGAGACATTGGTCTGCAATGTAATTGGAGCCATTTGTCATGGTTTACCACTTAAAGAGCCAAATGAGGAAGAGGGCTACAATTGCTATGTGTCATTATGAGAACACATCTAACTAATATGTCATTAACCAAAGCATATGATGTTCTATTACTCATTTGTTGAAGTTTCTTTGTCAAATATTTTCACAAGTGACATTGTGACAAGTTGTTGGACAAACAAGCCTGCTCATGTTACAATGTTCCTCAGGCATATATCGACACTAGTGAGATGTGGTTGACCAGAAGCACAGAATACCAAACCAGTGAGCCATAAACTGGATAAAACAGTTGAAGATCTGTAATGCATCGAGTCCACATGGTATTCTCCTATACCAAATTGGGAGATAATTTTTTCTAAAGTGAATATTGATGGAATGGAAAGAAAGATGCAAACTGAAGTGCAAGAACACAAAGTCCGAGTTGATCTGACCAAAGAGATCCTGAAGGGCCTTCTTGACATATATCACAGATGTCTTCACTAGTTTGACGATTAAAAGTACAAAAATCCATGTTTTCCTATTTTAAGAAGCTCCCATATGGTACACCTTTGTAAAGAACAATCAATATTACCACTTCTCTCTGTTACATATAAAAAAACTCACAGAAATAGAACTAGCTAGTAAGTGGGTGGGTGGGATTTTTTTTTTGTTGGGGGGGGGGGGGGTGGTTTGCAAGACTTGATAAGTTTAAGCTATACCAACTTGTTCAAGAGGTGATGAGCTAGACAAGAATATTCGAGCTGAGGCATTCCTGTACAAAACTAGTTGGGACATTGTGTCCACAGAATGACCCACTGAGGTTGGCTGGTACAATGACACATAGAGTGCCAGTGGATAACAAGAAAGTCTAAGTTCAATGCTTCCGTAATTAAGGAATTCGATTCCCTTTGAACTGATGTTATTATGTACCAAGCACATATCCAAAAGACTGGTTAGTTGCTTTGTTTATTCAAAGCATTGTGGGGATATTATAGGTATATTACAATCCCACAAACATCTCTCTTTTGTTGATTCCTCAAGTGGTAGGGTATGATGTCCTGAAATAAGGCAAAACCATGTGATCCTCTTGCAATTTCTTCACCTGATATGTTCATCAACTTTCCTTTTTTTAAGTTCTCCTTAAGCCTCACTATTCTTGTCAGTTTTAAGTGCTGGAAATCTCTATAAATTTCAGCATCAGTTTTTCATTCTACAATACATAAAAATTCCTCGAGTTATCAATCTCTGAACCTTTATTTTGCTGTTATTTCTTTTCCTGAAGATGGGGATCCGATTAATTGGGATAGTTCATGCCAAACAAAGGCTCAAGAGTACAATTTCATCGAAAAACAGCATGGTTTCTACCAGTACTGATGTTCCAAAAGGCCACCTTGCAGTTTATGTTGGCGAATCTTGTAGACGATTTGTCATTCCAATATCTTACTTGAATCATCCATTATTTCAAGACTTGTTACACTGGGCTGAAGAAGAGTTTGGATACAACCACCCAACCGGAGGCCTAACAATTCCTTGCAGTGAAGATTACTTCATTAGTCTCACTTCTATACTAAATTCTTCACAGAATTAACCTGGCTGCACTCTAATCTTTTCATGCTTCATCTCTTTAGGCCACTGATGTTTTTTGCATTCTAAGCTGAAAATATCAGAAATTGAGACAATCAAAACTGTTGCTGTTTAATTTTGTGATTTGGGCTAATGCCAAATCCTTCATATGTAGATTATTCTTTGTGTAATTTGTATTAACAATTGTTCAATCTTTTTTTTTGATCTTATGAAGTGGATTTTCGCTGAATCTCTGAACTTGGTCTTATTATCCATGGTTTCCCCCAAGAAATCATGGTGGCTACTCTTTCAAACTGATGAGGCAAGATTACAAAGCTCTAGAGGAACGAGATGAAAACAAGTTGGATCACAATTCATGCAGCCTTATGCTCACATTGTCACTCTAATATCCCGAGACCCGTATTGGACAATATTGTTGCTTTGAACTAAGTCCACATGACTTTAGAATACATTTTACAACGAAGGATCAAAGATCACACTTACGTATCACTTAACATCCATTTCACTAGCCGACATGGGATTGAGTCATCACAATTCACCCCCTTAAACCCAAACGTCCTCTTTTGGGCCCTGCCAGGTGATGTGGGCTTGTGGGAAATTTCTCCCACCATGCAAGCTGCCACCGTCCCAACCCAAGTCATCGCTCCATTGGACCATGGTGCATCAAGGGATGCACCGTCTTAAGTGACCTTCACACCACGAGAGAGTCACTGGCCCTGAAATCAATTGTAACGCCCCAGATCTGCATTGTGTAATATTGTTCACCTTGGGCTAGGTCTACATGGATTTAAAACACGTTTTACAATAAAAGTCTAAAACTCATACTTATACTTATACTTATGTACAATTCCATATCCACTTTATTAGTATGTGAGATTGAGTCATCACAGTCACTGCTACATAAATGGCTTTAGCAAAATTAAACAGCCTTTTATGTGGTGGCCTAGCTGCCACATCGTCAAGTGAAGTGATACATAACTATACTTTCACTGTACAATGTTTAAAACCGTTCAAATCTAATCCAAAACAGACTATATTTTTAGTATTGCCAAGTATGTCATTGATCATTCTCATAGAGTGATACCCGGTTATCATAAAGGACAAATTATGGATTACTTCTCCGTAGTTTGACCCAATTACAGATAACCCTTGTACACTTTACGAACAAGGACAAGTGCACAAAAAACAGGGGTAGAGAGACCTAAGCTCAAGTAGTGAGCATGGTCAATATACAGTGCCCTTCAAATATAAAGTAATAGACATAAAAATATCTTCAGTTTCAAGAAGGGCAGTGGAGATAAATTTAAAAATTGTTGTTTACATAAGCTTTTATGCGGCTATCTGCTCAAAACTGTGGGTAGTCCCCTCAATAAATTTCACATTAATCTGTAGCACAACTTGGGGTGTGTGATCAGTTTAGATGAGATATCTGGCCAATGGCCATATAATAATGCAATCAGCACTAGGACCCACGGTATGGTAGCCTGGTAGGGGCACCGATTTATGGTCCGGGCCTGTGGGCTATTAAATAATTTGAGAAGCCCAATTTAGATTTTTATTTTTATTTTTATATATATAGTGATTATACTTGAGTCGATTACACTCTCAAGTTCAACGACAATCACTGTAACCTAACATTATGGCTCCTTCATGCTCGTTCGAATGAAAAAATTAACACAATTTAATCAAATTTTTATGCTCATGCTGATGAGTTGAATTCATGTAACGCGTGACTCTACTCGAATAGATTTTCATATGTAAATAATAGGATTTTATTTTCAAACAATCCCTACCTTAAAAGAAAAAAATCCCCTAACTTGAATTTCTTGTGTTGCGTGTGTGGTTGATTACACAGTTATGATGGATTTTGCACAAAAAGTTGATTGCTAAATTGACTACCAAGTTTTATTGTTCAATTTTAGAAAAATTTGGCTCAGAATTTGAGATTGATTTTATTCCAAGTTAGATCCTAATGATAGTGAACTTTGGCAAAAACAAACTTGAAGAAGAATTTAATCTCGATAATAATCCATCACAATCGACGCATCACAATCAAGTGAATCATGCCTGAATACACTCAAACTCGACAAGTTTGGCACCATTAAGCCCTATATCTCACTTCTCAAGCACATATAGTCCATCTAGGAGTGTCAATTCGTATTATGTTGTGTCGTGTGATTCACGTGTTGTGTATTTTTGTGTCATGTCATTATTATTCGTATCATATTAATATCAAAATCCAAGAAAAAAAATTTATTTAAAGTGTTCTGAATGTCCAACATTAATCTACACAATTTGTTATGCGTATTTAATAATCGTGTTATATCAAGTTCTTGTCGGATTCATATTAGATTTGTATCAAAGGATCAGGATCGAGACTCACTTCCACCATGCTATATATAGCATCACTCGCTTGTACTTTCATCTTCAGCGTCTGATCTGAAGCATTTCCACTTGTTTTATCATAATATCATATACATTACTCAATCACTCACGTTCTTATACTCCTTAGAAGCTCATGGGGATTCGTCTGGCCTCTGTCATTGTCCATGCCAAACAAATTCTCCGACCAAGATCCATGCATGACCACCGCCACTCACCACCGCCAGCGGCTGCGTCGGCGTACGTCCCAAGAGGCCATTTTGCAGTTTATGTCGGCCGGGATACCGATAAGCACCGGTTTGTGGTTCCCATAACCTACTTGAAGCATCCTTCATTTCAAGACTTGTTGAGAAGAGCCGAGGAAGAATATGGATTTGATCATCCCACTGGTGGTCTTAGCATCCCATGCAGCAAAGATGCCTTCTTGCACATTACTTCTACTTTGAATTAGTATTAAAAGGAGGTAATGATTCAAAGTCGTGAAATCGGAGTCGAAGCACGATAAAACACATCTTGACACAAAAAGAAGGTATTTGGGCATAGTGAGATATGCAAGTCGTATTGCAACACTAGGAGGGGATGACGATGACTCAATCGAATCAACCAAGATGTTTCCAAATCAATTTCATATCGAGTGAGAGTGTGGTTTACACAAAATTTGAAACAGTATCAGAATAGAAAATGCCAAGTTGAAATTGCATCAGCCCATTCTTTGAACCATGAAGGAGGCCCAAACAAGTCATTTCTTAGTAGAATTAGCCATCTTGCCACCTAGTTTTTGTTTTCCCTTGTAAATACATGTACCATTTTGCACAGCTGCATGCCAACTTACTGCTTTCTAGTGTCCTATTAGCTTCTTTGTGACAAAAGACAACAATGGGAGAAATTTTTTTCCCGAGTTAAACAAAATATTCGACAGGTTAAATGGTGTATACACCTAATAAGAAACTCATACAAATTAGAAATGTAAAACATTTTCATTGGTTATGTACACCACCTCATCATGGGCTGTTTAAACTCACTGAAAATTTTCTCCAACACCACTATTAAGAACACTCCAATCAAGAATAAAGAAACAAAAACAACACAGAACCAAAAGAATGCTCATGGTCATGCCAGTTTTTGTTGTTTTTCAATATGCAAAGAAGAATTCTGATGGTCTTAATAGGGCATACTTTCTGTTTT